TGAATGAATGAATGAATGAATGAATGAATGAATGAATGAATGAATGAATGAATGAATGAATGAATGAATGAATGATTCGTTCATTCGTTTATTCGTTCATTCGTTTATTCTTTCATTTGTTCAACTTCATTCTTTCATTTGTTCAACTTATAATATTGCTCATTAACAGCTTTTATCATTGAATGCACAAAACGTTTATGTTACGTGTTTATTTTTAGCATCCATTCGGTATTGACAATTTCGTCATTTAATGCCAGAGGAAAAACAGCTATAGAAATGAAACAGACGCTTTGGATCACATCTCCTGGTTACAATACTCATGAGATTTATTAGAAGCTTATTTCGGATGTAAGATTACAGCACTTAAAAGTAACACGCGATTTACTTTAAAATTACATAGTAAAACTGCCAGGAAAATTAATTAATTACAAACTTTTAATTTCTTCAAAAACCTTCTTCAAAACATACGAAATCGTGATTCACTTTGTGGCAGATGTTGAGTGCAAGTACCACGCCAAGGTTGATAACATTGACTTGTCTGCCCATGGAGGACCTGAGGAACCAATCAACACCTACGTGGCTAATGCTACAGGAAATATGATACAAAATCTCATTCCACAAGATTTGGTATTGTCTAAACACCATTAGCAGAATTTAAGTAGTGTTATTGATTTTACTCTAATGTTAAAATTAAAATCTCCAACCAAAAGGTTTGGTACTGTCTAAACACCATTAGCTAAATTTAAAGTAGTGTTATTGATTTAACACTAAAGTTAAAATTAAAAATCTCCAACCAAAAGGTTTTGTATTGCTTAAAAACCACCAGCAATAGGCCTATTTAATGTAGTGTTATTGATATGAAAATTTAATTCAAGGTAACAAATTGTATCAAATCAATTCGGGAAGTTAATTTTTCTTTTTGCTTTGATCAATAAAATATGTTATATCTTTTATAACCGACCTAAGCTTTTTTTAAAGAACTTGTTTGTTATATTTTCTTACTTTCAGTGCATTTTAAAGCTTATAATAATGGGTTTTTATGTTAGTTTTATTTATTTATTTATTTATTTATGAACATTTCCCACAACACTAATGCTCTCAAACTCAAAATACACTACATCATCTCCTTGTACAGACCAGGATTGATTTTATTCCCGTATCTTTTAGAATCCATCAAATCACCAGTAGAAATATCAATGGCTAGAGCTTACACCCCTAAGTCGCTACTGCACATAACACAGATCTGAATGATGGTACGGTTATCCGTATTACAAAATCCTATAAACCTAGCTGTATTTGTTTGTTTTAATTTCAATAACATATTTCCTATGTATTTATCATTTTCATAAAGGTTCGGCTTAAACTTAGTTCAATTTTTTAAAAACAACATCGTTTTGTGAGATAGAGCCAGGAGGAAATGATGCAGGTTATTATGAATAACAAAATTTCCCAAACTTTAAGAACGGATTAACTATTAGAACAAAATAAAATAAACACTTGTTTCCTACCTGCCTTAGCCACACTGTATTAGACGCTTCAGAGGGAGAGATTAGAGGATACACTTAGCTTACAGGCACTAGCATTAGCTTTGGCAGCGTAATACAGAGTAGTTTTAAATTATGGTGAGGTAATGTTAAGGTAATGTTGAGGTAATTTTAAGGTAATATTGAGGTAAATGTGAGGTAAATGTGAGGTAATGGTGGGGTAATGATGAGGTAATGTTGAGGTAAGGATACGGTTTTGTTTTTGGAGTTGAGTGTGAAGTTGTGAGGTAATAGTTAAGTTGTAAATTGGTAATGATAAATCCTAATATATAAAAGCCCATGTGCGCACTTCTCTCTCTCTCTCTATCTCTATCTCTCTCTCTCTCTCTCTCTCTCTCTTTGTCCGCAAAATATTTTTGCTGGGTATCACATCAGAATCTTCAGCGATATATGGAGAACTTGATACGGACTTTTGTTGAAAATAATATGGTAGATGTTTTAAATGTATTACCAACATTTTATTTAAAGAAGAAAAATTTTAAAAAGGCTTATTCGAATGTGGAAAAACAGTTGTAATTATGCAACAAGAAAAGTGTTTATAGTTGTGAAAAATAACCCATGAAACAATGACGTCACTAATGTTTATACATTAACTAATACGTCATCTGCCGAGTTTAGAATAAAAAGAAATGAACTATTTCATTCAAATTTGATTTAGATCTACGTACGCTAAAACTAGACGTCGACGCTAAGATCTAGATTTAGACTCTATCTACTCTAGAATCTATTCCAAAAATAAATTTCTATATTAAACTATTTCATGTCTTAATTATTTTATTGAAATCTTTGTTTGTTTAGCTATGGAACTGGCTAATTTGGGATAAAAAATTAATTTGAAAGAATACGCATATTGGCGTAAGTTAAGCTTTTTAAATACGTCTTTCATTCTCCAATTTTTATAAGGTACCTAAAACACCTGATTATTGTGACATATTACAGACGAGTGTAGGACATTATCCCACCCCTCACTTCGTCTGTTGCCCCTAGGAATCTGCCCGACATGACCTCTCCCCAACAATTATTTCCCCGTGCCTATTACTCCAACCCAACGACCCCCCCCCACCCCACTTCTAAATCCTGAAAAAAAAACCTTAGGCTAACGCTCACGCTACCACCAACCCTAGCCCAAACATCAATCCTAACACCAATTTTAAACATAATTATCTCACTAAATCCCGAACCCTAACCTTAACCCAAACCTTAACCCTGCCGAGTTTTAGTATCGACTGTTGTACATGAATAATACCCAAACACCCACATAAACGTGCACGCACGTAGCTTTACCTGTAAAAAGGTTTTAAAAATCTTTCGATTATCGTGCGGAGTTATCTTTTCTTGTCTATATATGTATAGACCCGTAACTTGACAAAATCCGGTATTTGAGGGCGAGTTAATCACGTACGTGGACTGGGTAAGTAATAATATAAATACTCAACTATACTTTTATAAAGGTAAACATATTAAAATACATTTATATATATATATATATATATATATATATATATATATATATATATATATATATATATATATATATATATATATATATATGTGGGTGAGTATATATGGTGTCTATAAGCGACCAGTACACAAAACGCTGTACATTTTAATCTAAGAGAATAAGTTGATGTCTCAGAGCAACGACACATATGTACTTTTTGTTATTCGTTTGTAAAATTTAAACGAAAGCAAACAAGCAAACAGTAACAGCAAAACATCAAACAACATACTGGAGTTGATTGTGGCGGGTGTTTTATGGTGTAGTGTCTATGTGTATCTAGCGTGCGCGTGTGTGTGCATGCATAGTTTCACGTAAAGTAGACCGCATGTTAATGAGCTTATTTGGAAAGATTCTATTAGAACACCCCAAAGTTTTTTTTAAACGTTTTCCGTCCAATATAAGTCGATGTCATCAGATAACGAGCCCCGTCTGGCCGGGGATCGAACTCTGGACTTCTGGAGTAAGAAATCCTGCTCTCCTGTCTGACCACGCATTTAATTTTTTTAACACGTATGGCTAACTGACTCGGGTTAGGAATAGTATAAGTGGCTGGGCCTATAACGAACTTAAAACATTAGTTAAAAACTGTACTATTTCAATACAAGGGCATCTTAATTTTTTTTTATCACGTGGCATCCTAAATTGTAAATTATGTTGGGTAATAAATCGAGGACTATTTGCATGTTTTATAAGTTTTCAAAGACTATTCTACTTAATACTGACCCTGTTTTAAAAATTAATAATAAGTTCAAACAGTATTTTTTTTCTTAATCTTCATCTTCTACGTTATCAATATCAATTAAAAGGTTAATTACGTATTACGTGTCAACTGTTTAAGCGCCATATTTCAGCCTGCTTTTATTTTTGGATTTGCTTCCATTGTCTTTGTTTAAAAATAACATCTTTGGATAACCAAGAACAAAGTACAACTCAGCAGTTGTTTCTCTCAAGTTTGTATCTCATAGGAGAATTGATGTCCCCAGCTACCGAGCCTCATCTGCTCGGGTGTTCGAACTCGAGACTTCTCGGTTCAGCAACCATGAGCTTTACCGTCTCCACCACGCCGAACTCCTTATTCAAAACCATACTAATTTTTGTTATGTTGTTCTATACAGGCTATAACGATGTTCAAGCAATTTTTTATATTGTTTGCTGTTGTGACGTCAATAGTGGGGTCGAAACAATGCCCGAACTTACCACCAGGACTCACAAAAATTGTCAAGGGAGTGGACATATCAAAACTTGACCTTTTACCTCTGGACTTTACCAGTAACGATGGTGTTCGGGTTGACGTGTGACCAGGGGAAGACGTGGAAAAATCCAAAAGGCGTCACATACGACATGCCGGATCAGGTCTATATGTTTCCAATTGTGATAATAAATAATTAGTTTTAATGACAATATTAAATTCTATTCTGAAAATGAATCATATACAACATGCCGGATCAGGTCTATGTTTCCAATTTAATCATACACAGTGATTATAAATTATTAGTTTTAAATCACAATAATTAAATTTATTTAGAAAAGGAATCGTATACGCTATGCTGTATCAGGTAGGCCTATAGGTTTACAAATGTCGTTATAAGTTGTTAATTTTTATAACAAAAAAGAAATCTATGCAGGAAATTAACTGTATACGATGTGCCGAATCAGGTAAATGTTTACAAATTTAATCAGAAACTGTGATAAGCAGTTAGTGTTGATCACAGTAATGAAAACAATTCAGAAAATTAATCAAACACGATATGCCGTATCAACTATGTTCAAAATCACATCAAAGGCAGTTAAAATACATAATTACTCTTAATCGTATTAATAAAATTAATTAAAATAAATAAAAGAGCGTTTATAAATTTAGAAATAATATTAGTTCGCTTATAAAAAATTCGTTCAGATAATTGGTAAAGTAAGTTATACTGCAAACAAAAAAGTATTGAGCTCGAAACCAGTGCTTGACTCCGTTGAACGCACTATACCTTGATATACTTAACTTCACATATCATATTGCCACTAACTGATGTGTTTCCTTAAATGAAGCACATAACGTGTTTTGATTCTTACTTCTCTTTTCGTGCATAGCCGATACCTTTCTTGTATCAATAGCATTTTAAAATCTTAATTGTGTGAACAATTCAAGTGTGTTAGTTTTTATATTTAAAAAACCATTATTTATGGTAATTTTTTTAAACGATTTTTTCCAGTTTTTCGCACTTCACAGAGAAACTTTAACTTTAGGATAAAATATAGACGTCTTAAATTTATTTTAGCTAAGCCTTGATGTCTCAATTATACATTAGCTATATACAAAAAATTCATCAAAACAATAAAATCTCCAGGTGAAATAATTTTTACCATTTGATTAAAATAATAATTTGATTAACAGCCATAACAAATGATGTAACATCGTTTCCTCATCAAGCAGTTCAATTAAAAGTAAATATTAAATAAACCATAATTACGTAAAATATATCAAATCTCCAGGTGAAATAAGTTCATGCCATTTGATTAAAATAATAATTGGATATAATGTATACAACCAATTTTGTCCTCGACTTAAAACTAAATATTAAATTAGCTGTATATAAGTAATCTAATCTTATTTCAAAGATTGAATTTATTTTATTTGTCAGATTTGGACAATCTCCTCGGTGCCGGGTGGGTATATGTCCTCTGAGGTCAGCACATTCCAGACCTACAGCGAAGTCAGAGATTCTATGAGTGTTAGCGTTGGTCTAGATATAGATTACAAGTTGTTCGCTTTCTCTGCAAGTTCAACCTATAAAAAAATGCAATCTTTAATCACCAACAGTTCAAAGTTTTTGTCGGAAGTCACGGCATTCACCGGGGCAACTCGTGTTGATGTTCTCCCACCTGAAAAATTAGAGTTGGATAGTAATACACAAAATTTCATTGACAACATGCTCACAGGGACCTACGAAAGTAACCAGCAAGCTTATGACACTTTTGTCGAAGAGTACGGTACACATTACTTTGCAACGGGCAATTTTGGAGGCTATGTCAGAATGTTTTTTGAGGTAACGCAAGAATACTTTTCCAGTAGAAATGAGGTCGACATTGAAACTAATGCTAAAGCTTCATACGCGCATATGATATCTGTGAGTGTTGGTGTCTCTACTTCAAACGTAAAAATTGACGAGTCGTTCAAATCAGGTACTAAAAATACCGTTAAATATTACGGAGGCGATACAAACTACCTCAACATCCAAGACGGCTTTTCCAAATGGCTTCCAACTGTAGAAAACGATCCGTGGTTGTTCTCTGGCCATCTAAAACCAATTAGTAATTTGATAAGAAACTCTACTAAAAAGTCATCAGTTATACAAGCGGTTGAACGGCATTTGATAAGAAACTATCTTGACGAATTACAATCTCTGGTCAACGCGGCTAAAAAAAGATCCGATAATTTCATAATCAATAATTTTGCGAACCGTATCAATGAAATAAAAAGCAGAAAAGATGTTGCCAGAAGTAGTGTCGATGCCTTTTCAAGTGACCTGTCTGATTACATGAATGTCCCGTCATGGTTTTTGAGCAACACAAAGATATGTTTGCATTGGTCAGCAACTGGCGATAAAAATCAATGTGGAGGTCCAAACGTCCAGCAAGAACTATGTGCTAACGTTAACAAAATGACGGACTGGTACCACGACGAGACAGATAAACGATCCGGTGGTTGTAAGATGCAATGGGCGGTCTTTTCATCCGGGACTGATGCCCCATAGTGGCTGAGAAAGGTACAGTTATGCTATCAATGGGACGTAATCAAGGAGAATATTCCAAACTGTGGCTTTAGCCGGGACTACATAAACTGCGCTGACTTAAACAAATTCACGTATGAGTACATTGACGATACCACCAATAATAAAGTGGGTTTCAAACTGCGATGGATGCTTCAAATTCCAGACGAAGCTCCTTATTGGATGCGAGCGATTCAGATGTGCTTCAACTGGGACTATGAAGATGACGTGGGACAGTGTGGTGGAGGCGCCCCACTAAAGCAATGTGTACTGGCCAACCAATGGACGCAGTACTACGTGGATAAAACAGATGATCGAGCAGGTGGCTGTAAGATGATCTGGGGACTAAAGACATCCTAGTAACTTGATAACGTTTAGACAACGTTGCTAAAACATTCTATGCAGACTTTATAAAAATTTTAAGGAAAACTTTGCTTTGGAATACTTAGTTAAAACACTTTACGAAGATCTCTTCATAACTTTATTAAAGAATACATTGTTTAAGAAACTTTATGGAAAAACTATTTCTATACCCTGAATAATTATAATTGAATTAAACATAAATATATAAATAAAATGTATCGTAAGTTGTTTTTGTTCTTAGTTAAAATAACTACAATTTACGGCTCCAAAAATTGAATGATAAGGTGCTAATTACTAATCTGTTAAACCGCCAACTTATTAATGGTCATCTAGGAGCAGGACATTACTAGCTGTCGATATTTTAGAAAATAGAAATTAAAAAGCGATCTCACATTTAGAGTTAGTGTTTTTCATTCGCAGCTAACGTCAACAATCATTTGTGAAACCCTAGTAATTGTCGTCCATTTCGTATTTTTAATATCCTAAGGGGATATACAACAAAATGAATGAGTATTATTTATCAATATGTTACGCTCCATACAAGCCATTGACAGACTTCGGTATGTTGTTTTTTCTGTGCTTCCATAGCGTTTGTTGATCCCAAAAACATGAACAAGGCAAAAGTTTGATTTCTGAGTTGTCTCTCCCAGGTAGGTCGATGTTCCTAGTTTCAGTTATAACTAGACTACCCGTTATCCTTGGATAACTGTGGATTTCGGTGTCATCTATAAATGACATCACGTCTGTCAGTTATCGTCATAAAAAAACCAGACCCCACATTCAAAAAGTCGTCACACCTCAGACTTGTTTGTCTTTTACAAAAACCTATTTCGGCTGAGCATGGGTCTGACCACTCTATCCCTTCCTGTGCTAAGGACACAAAACAGGTCAACTCTACTTCACCTGCCCAGTGTCCCGCCAACTCAGACATGTTTTGTCTTTAAAACACCGATTTCGGCTGAGCAAGGATCTGAACACACTACCCCTTCATATGCTGACGTCACAGGTAAAATCGACACCTACCCAACCCTACATCACCTGCCCAGTTTCCCGCCAAGTCTCAGACAACAATATTTTATCATTTAAAAAAATAAAATTCGGCCGAGCATGGTTCTAATCACACTATAAATGTATATGCTAAGGACAAAGAAACAGGTGAAATCTACTTCACCTGATCTGTGTCCCACCTAGTCCCGATAGGCAACTTTATCATTCAAATAAAATTAAAAATTGGCTGCTTTAAATTTTAATCACGTAATACGCCATTTACTTTAAAATTACATATTTAAACTTACCAATAAAATTAATTAATTACAAAGTTTTAATTTCTACAAAACCCTTCTTCAAAACATACGAAATCGTGCTTCAATTTGTGGCAGATGTTAACCCCTTAACGCCGACAGTCGCGTTTTCGCGACATACCGATTTAGCGCATAGCATTTGCGCATATGTACATTTATCCTACTGCTGCCGGTCGTTGTGTATTGGGTCCATCCAGACGGTTGTATCGGTACGAGCGGTCACGTTGTCAAGTCGAAATTTATGACGTCACACTCTCTTGACTCACGCGCATCGTAATTTTTTTGACTTCGTGAATTCGGCCTACTTACATTGATTATTATTACTAAATAGGTGATCCGTTTTTGCTACAAAAAATACTAATAGCTTTATTATTCATTCTTTTATGTATATAAACAATATAAATTACATATGAGAATAATTTTGGAAGTTATCTGCTAATTACGGTTTGTCGCGTTTTCGCGACATCCGGCAATAAGACATCAAATGGAACTTAGGTGACAAGCAGGTATAACGAAATACGATGCATCGCCAAGCTGTCATTCATTCAAGTATGATTACAAATAAGTAAAGGATTTACAATATAGTCTTCGCCTATATATAAAAGTGCACTTTAGAACGTTACGGTCCATGTGGTAGGTGAAGTAGAGTTCACCTGTTTCATTGACCTTGGCATATGAAGAGAGAGCGATGCTTGAATAATGTGATCATGCTGCTGGTTACAATGTAACTTATTTAGCTTTGAAATAGTATTGTATAATATTAGGAGAACATAAAAAACAAAATAGACAACAGGAAGTGAGGTGGTGGACCACTATCCTGAATACCACCAAATAAAGGTCTTCACAGTGACCTTGACAATAATTACAATGAGCATAGACCTACACCTCGTAATAAATACAGTAAGGTTGAGTGCTGACAAACATACCCTTTGCTATTGAATAACCACATTAGTGACATTATACTGGCATTTAGTACCTACAGCAGTGTTATTGAGTACCCACATCTTCAGCACTGAGTACCAACATCAGTGACACTGAGCAACCACAGTTTGAGCAATAAGCACTCACAGCAGTGCTACTGAGTACCCACTGCTAAGGATGAGTACCTATATCAACGTTATCGATAACCAACAGCTCCAGCGCTGAGTACCCACAGCAGTGACACCAAGAACCGACTGAAGTAACACTGAGTACCCACAGCAGTGACACCAAGAACCAACTGAAGTAACACTGAGTACCCACAGCAGTGACACCAAGAACCAACTGAAGTAACACTGAGTACCCACAGCAGTGACACCAAGAACCGACTGAAGTAACACTGAGTACCCACAGAAGTGACACCAAGAACCAACTGAAGTAACACTGAGTACCCACAGCTTCAAAAGTGAGTACCCACAGCTTCAGCACTCAGTACACATGGCTTCAACACTCAGTACCCACTGTTTCAGCACTGAGTACCTATAGCAGTGGCAATATGTAGCTACAGCACTGTCATTGGTAATCAATATCAGAATCAGTCGAGAACAATAGCCGTAGCACGAATTTGAAACATAGGGTACCATCAACAATAGCAGTGAGTACCCACACCGGTGGCACTGAGTACCCACAGCAGTAACACTAAATACCCACAGCAGCTGCATTGAGCATGGACGAATATACAATGGCTGAACACTGTCATTTAGGACAGTATTTGTTCACGTGCTTTGTGTGTATAGCAAATATAGGTCAAATGAGAAATATGCTTCTTTATTAGTTGACCTTGAATAAGAGTTCACGAAAATTACGTAACCGGGGACAACTAAGGCTCTACACATTGAAGGTAGTACTTACATATGTAGTGTATTACTGTAATGTAGTAGAATTACAACAGCAAGACATCAAAATACCTATTCATAAGAGTTAGTCAGTGAGCAGGTGCAGCAGAGTTATGTAACTCTATGCCTGAGCTAATAAAATATAGTTTTCATGAGTTTTGCAAGTGATTCTACATCTCTTTGCATGCCCGTATGTTCAGTTTGTGATATTTTATTGTTTGTGCATGGATATTTAGAGAAACATGTGACAGTAAAAATGTTAAAATGACCCGGACTAAAAAAAAAAAAAAATTACTGTTTGGTCCATAAGTGCCTGATGTCGCGTTTTCGCGACATACCGTAATTATCATCAAAAATAGGTCAAAATTCAAAAACAACTATATACCTCAAATTCAGTGTCAGTATGATGAGAGAAAATCAGCACAAATAATTTTTTACACGCTTGGAACATAATTCAGGCATTAAGGGGTTAAGAGCAAGTACCACGCCAAGGCTGATAACATTGACTTGTCTGCCCCTGGTGGAGCTGAGGAACCAATAAACACCTACGTGGCAAATGCTACAGGAAATATGATACAAAATCTCCTTCCACAAGGTTTGGTATTGTCTAAACACCATTAGCACAATTTAAAGTAGTGTTATTGATGTGAAAATTTAATTTAAGGTAACAAATTGTATCAATTGCGGTAGTTAATTTTTCTTTTTGCTTTGATCAATAAAATATGTAATATCTTTTATGATTGACCTAAGCTTTTTTTAAAGAACGTGTTTGTTTTATTTTCTTATTTTCAGTGCATTTTAAAGCTTATAATTATAATGGGTTTATATGTAAGTTTTATTTATTTATTAGCAGTTCCCATAACACTAATGCTCTCAAACTCAAAATACACTACATCATCTCATTCTACAGACCAGGATTGATTTTATTCCCGTATCTTTTAGAATCCATTAAATCACCAGTAGAAAAATCAATGGCTAGAGCTTACACCCCTAAGTCGCTACTGCACATAACACAGATCTGAATGATGGTACGGTTATCCGTATTACAAAATCATATAAACCTAGCTGCATTTGTTTGTTTTCATTTCAATAACATATTTCCTATGTATTTATCATTTTCATAAAGGTTTGACTTAAAATTAGTTCATTAAAAAAAACACAGTTTTGTAAGTTAGAGCTCGGATGACATGATGCAGGTTAATATGAATAACAAAATTTCCCAAACTTTAAGAACGGATTACCTTTTAGAACAAAAGAAAAAAAATTATTTTCTACCTGCCTTAGTCACACTGTAAGACGCTTTAGAGGGAGAGATTACAAGGATAACAGGCAGTAGGCATAGGTTTGGCAGCGTAATACAGAGTAGTTTTAAATTATGGTTAAGGTAATGTTGAGGTAATTTTAAGGTAATATTGAGGTAAATGTGAGGTAATGGTAAGGTAATGGTGAGGTAATGTTGAGGTAAGGATACGGTTTTGATTTTGGAGTTGAGTGTGAAGTTGTGAGGTAATAGTTAAGTTGTAAAGTTGTAATGGTAAATTAATTTTAGAAAAGCATTCACGTATTCGTAAGGCAATAGCAACAAAACCGTTTTTTGTTTATTTTGACGTATTACAGACGGGTGTAGGGCATTATCCCACCTCCCGTCAGTTGCCCCAAGAAATCGCCCCAACAGTAATTTACACGTGCCTATTTCTCCCACCCACCGACCCCCCCCCCCCCCCCCCACACACACACCCCACTTATAAATCCTGAAAAAAACCCTTAGGCTAACGCTAACCTTACAGCCAACCCTAGCCCAAATATCAATCTTAACACCAATTTTAAACATATATCTAATCCTAAACTAAACTTACCCTAACCTTTACTCTCACTATAACCCGAACCCTAACCTTAACCCAAACCTTAACCCTACCATTTGGCGTAGCGAGGTCGGGTTTTACCCGTTGCGGCACTTATTATTAATGGTGTCACTCCCCCCCCCCCCCCCCCACAGAGGCGTATTTGCAGCCCAACTCAAACAAACTTTTGATTTGCAACCCCCCTCAAACTTTCGATTTGCACCCACCCCAGTCTTTTCCTCCTGGACTGATGCCCCACAGTGGCTGAGTAAGGTACAGTTATGCTATCAATGGGACGTAAGCAAGGAGAATATTCCAAACTGTGGCTTTAGCCGGGACTACATAAACTGCGCTGACTTAAACAAATTCACGTATGAGTACTTTAACGATACCACCAATAATAAAGTGGGTTTCAAACTGCGATGGATGCTTCAGATTCCAGACGGAGCTCCTTATTGGATGCAAGCGATTCAGATGTGCTTCAACTGGGACTATGAAGGTGACGTGGGACAGTGTGGTGGAGGCGCCCCACTAAAGCAATGTGTACTGGCCAACCAAGGGACGCAGTACTACGTGGATAACACGGATGATCGAGCAGGTGGCTGTAAGATGAGCTGGGGACTACAGACATCCTAGTAACTTGATACCGTTTTAGACAACGTTGCTAAAACATTCTATGCAGACATTATAATAATTTTAAGGAAAACTTTGATTTGGAATACTTAGTTAAAACACTTTACGAACATCTCCTCATAACTTTATTAAAGAATACATTGTTGTGGATATTTTTTTTGGAATGACTATTTCTTTAACCGGAATAATTAAAATTGAATTAAACATAAATATATAAATAAAATGTATCGTAAGTTGTTTTTGTTCTTAGTTAAAATAACTACAATTTACGGCTACAAATATCGAATGATAAGGTGCTAATTACTAATCTGTTAAACCGCCAACTTAATGGTCATCTAGGAGCAGGACATTACTAGCTGTTGATATTTTAGAAAATAGAATTTACAAAGCGATATCACATTTAGAGTTAGTGTTTTTCATTCGCAGCTAACGTCAACAATCATTTGTGTAACCCTAGTTTCGGGGTCATCTATAAATGACATCACGTATGTCAGTTATCGTAATTAAAAAATCCGACCCACATTCAAAACGTCGTCATACCTCAAACTTTTTTGCCTTTTACAAACAGCTATTTCGGCTGAGCATGGGTCTGACCACACTATCCCTTCATGTGCTGAGAACACACAATTAAGTAAATTCTACTTCACCTGCCCAGTGCCCCGCAAACTCAATTTAAATGCTGAGATCACAAAAACAGGTCAACTCTACTTTACCTGCCCAGTGTTCTTTTAAAACACATATTTTCGGCTGATCATGAATCGGACCACAGTAACACTTCAAATGCTGATGTCACAGGTGAAATCTACACCTACCCAACCCTACTAGATAAAGCAGTGGCGTAGCGAGGTCGGGTGTTACACTTAATGGTGTAACCCCCCCCCCCCCCCCAGAGGCGTTGCGACCCTTCCCGGGGACAAACTTTCAAGTTTTCGATTTGCACCCCCACCTCAAACTTTCGATTTGCACCCCCCCCCCTCAAGTTTTTGATTTGCAACCCCCCCCCCCCCCCCTCAAACTTTCGATTTGCACCCCGCTCTCAAGTTTTTCTCTATATTTTTGCTATTTTTTGCCTTGGTGTCACCCCCCCCCCCTCCTTAATGGTGTCACCCGGTGCGGTCCGCACCCCCCGCCCCCCCCCCCCCCCCCACTCGCTACGCCCCTGAGGTCAAGCCCTTGTATTCTCGATTCAGATAATCCTTGAAGCTAAAAAGCAGGACTTTATACCACATATTTAAGGACTAAAAGAGTGTAATAAAGAAACGAAAAAATTTATCGTGGTTTTATTATTGTTTTTATTTTTAACTAATTAATTTTGGTTTGACCTAGATTTTAGATCTAGCTAGGCTCTACTTTCCTTTCTCCGACAGTTTTTTTTAGATCTAGAAGAATGTATTGTATACTCAGATTAGAAGAACTGTTAAAAATTGATAATAGTCTTGGAACCTAATAAAAATAGCAAACGGAAGTATCGGTACAGTTATGGCCGACAGAAAAATTAGCTTTATAACGCATTAAACTTTTGAAAGGGCAACATGATCTCGCATGGAAAACGCCATGTTTGCTGTATAAAAATAAACATGTGACGTCACAATATGTAAGTTATTGCTCTGAACTTTTATAACTAAAGTGGTGTTTCCACCTATGAATATATCAGTAAATTAATTAACGTCTTTGAATGAATTGGTGATTTACAGTTTGGTAAAAAATAAACATTATTCTCTACCTAAATACGTACTTTACAGCTCTACACATAGTGCAGGTACTCTCAGGTAACCAAACAGACAAACAAATAAATATACAAACTTGTAAACAAATTGAGTTTTAAAAGTATACAACACTACTGGTTATTCTTAAATAACTGTATTTCAAGGGTAATCCATAAATGTTTATTTGATGATTTTTATCTTTTGCCTCCCCTTCCCTTATTATCAAAAAAAAAACCAGACCCCAAATTCAAAAAGACGTCACACCTCAGAAGTGTTTGTCTTTTACAAACACCTATTTCGCCTGAGCATGGCTCTCTCCACACTACCCCTTCATATGCTGAGGACTCAGAAACAGGTATGCACGCTCGTCAACAAATAAAATATATGTTTATAATTATAAGCCATCACGTTATTATATATAAAACTGGGAACGCCACCTATCTGGAAGAGAAAACTCAGAAATCAAACTGTTGCCTTGTTCATGTTTTTGGGATCAACAAACGCTATGGAAGCACAGAAAAAACAACATACCGCAGTCTGTCAATGGCTTGTATGGAGCGTAACATATTGATACATAATACTCGTTCATTTTGTTATATATCCTCTTGGATATAAAAATATGCACGAGGAAGATTATGGTTAGACAAATTAATGTGGTTGTTAGCCGCGAATGAAAAAAAACACTCATTCTAAATGTAAGATCGCTTTCTTTACTTTACTTTCTTAAATATCAACAGCTAGTAATGTCCTGCTCCTAGATGACCAATTAGTTAGCGGAAACTTAACAGATTAGTAATTAGCACGCTATCACTCGACCACATTTATAGTCGTAAACTGTAGTCCTTTTAAAAAAAACAAGAAAACAAATTCCGATGCATTTCATTTATTTAATATTTGATTCAAATTTAGTTATTCCGGGTAAAGATATCATCTTTCCATTAGATTATCCAAAACAATGTATTCTTTAATAAAGTTATGAGGAGATCTTCGTAAAGTGTTTTAACTAAGTATTCCAAAGCAAAGTTTTCTTTTAAGTTTTTATAATGTCAGCTTAGAATGTTTTAGCAACGTTGTCTAAAACTTTATCAAGTTACTAGGATGTCTTTAGTCCCCAGCTCATCTTACAGCCGCCGGCTCGATCATCCGTGTTATCCACGTAGTACTGCGTCCATTGGTTGGCCAGTACACATTGATTTAGTGGGGCGCCTCCACCACATTGTGCCGCGTCACCTTCGGATTCCCAGTTGAAGCACAAATGCATTGCTCGCATCCAATAAGGAGCTTCGTCTGGAATCTGAAGCATCCATCGGAGTTTGCAACCCCCTTTATTATTGGTTGTATCGTCAACGTACTCATACGTGTATTTGTTTAAGTCTGCGCAGGATACGTAGTCCCGGATAAAACCACAGTTGACATTCGCCTTGCTTACGTCCCATTGATAGCATAACTGTACCCTGCTCAGCCACCGGGCATCAGTCCCGGAGGAAAAGACCGCCCATTGCATCTTACAACCACCGGATCGTTGATCTGTCTCGTCGTGGTACCAGTCCGTCATTTTGTTAACGTTAGCACATAGTTCTTGCTGGACGTTTGGACCTCCACATTGATTTACATCGCCAGTTGCTGACCAATGCAAACAAATCTTTGTGTTGCTCAAAAACCATAACGGGACATTCATGTAATCAGACAGTTCACTTGAAAAGGCAACGACACTACTTCTGGCAACATCTTCTCTACTTTTTATTTCATTGATACGGTTTGCAAAATTGTTGATTATGAAATTATCGGACCTTTTTTTAGCCGCGTGGACAAGAGATTGTAATTCGTCGAGATAGTTTCTTATCAAATGCCGTTCAACCGCTTGTATAATTGATGACTTTTTAGTGGAGTTTCTTATCAAGTCACTGATTGGTTTTAGATGGCCAGAGAACAACCACGGATCGTTTTCTACAGTTGGGAGCCATCTTGAAATGCCATCTTGACTGTTGAGGTTATTTGTATCGCCTCCATAAAATTTAACGGTATTTTTTGTACTTGATTTGAACGACTCGTCAATTTTTGCGTTTGAAGTAGAGACACTGGTACTAACGGTTATCATATGCGCGTATGAAGCTTTAGCATTTGTCTCAATGTCGACCTCAGTTCTACTGGAAAAGTATTCTTGCGTTACCTCAAAAATCATTCTGACATAGCCTCCAAAATCGCCCGTTGCAAAGTAATGTGTACCGTACTCTTCGACAAAAGTGTCATAAGCTTGCTGGTTACTTTCGTAGGTCCCGGTGAGCATGTTGTCAATGTAATTTTGTGTATTACTATCCAACTCTAATTTTTCAGGTGGGAGAACATCAACACGAGTTGCCCCGGTGAATGCCGTAACTTCCGACAAAAACTTTGAACTGTTGGTGATTAAAGATTGCATTTTTTTATAGGTTGAACTTGCAGAGAAAGCAAACAACTTGTAATCTATATCTAGACCAACGCTGACACTCATAGAATCTCTGACTTCGCTGTAGGACTGGAATGTGCTGACCTCAGAGGACATATACCCACCCGGCACCGAGTTGATTGTCCAAATCTGACAAATAAAATTCAATCATTTAAATAAGATTACATTTCGTATTAACAGTTTATTTAACTAATATTTTCTTATAATTGAGGGGCTTAAATGGGAAACCATTTTACAACATTTGTTATAGCCATTATGTCAAATTATTATTTTAATCAAATGGCAAGAAATTATTCACCTGTAGATTTTGTTGCTTTAATGATTATAGCTTAAGTATAGTTAAGACGTCTATATTTTCTCTTAATGTAAAAGTTTAGTTTCTCATGTGTATAAAGGTTCTTATTAAAAATAGTCTTTTTTATGTCTTTTTTTTTAAAAAGTAAACAAAACTAATGGTTATTAACATAAGATACTTAACACGTTTAATTGTTTACAATGAAGTATACATTTTAAACTGCTATTGGCACAAGAAAGATAGCACTTAAGCAAGAAACGAGAAGTAATAATCTAAAACGTGTGCTTTCTTAACGGAAACAAAAATGTATAGGGTAGGTGAAGTGGGGTATATGAAGGATAGTGCAGTCAGTTCTACGCTCAGCCATCACTACTTTCTCCAACTTGAGCCAGGTACCCATTTGAACTGAGTCCACTCTGGGACGTTCAGCGGACTCAAGCGCGGGTTCCGAGCTCAAGACATCCATGTTTGCAGTCGTAAGCTGCACCTAGCAACCACACCGTTCCATTAGTTCTCATCAAGTTAAGCATCCATTACATTTTTAATGGTCTCTTAGAACCAAAAAAAAATTTAGGTGTAATCAAATGTTACTGTAAAAAATCTCTGAACGAATTTCAATTTCAATAAGGAAACAAAGATTATTTCTCAAAGCTTTTTTATTTATTTTTGACAAATTTTATTTTTACGATTAAACGTAATAATGTATTATCACTGCTTTTATACAATTTCAAACATAGTTGGGGGTCGTCCATAAATGACGTCACACTCGTGGGGGGGGTCTGGTTTTTTGTGACGATGTGTGACGGAGGGGAGGGGGGAGGTAAAAATCGTTTTAAAAAGCGTGATGTTATTTATGGATGAACCCTTGTTACGGCATATCTAATTTCATTAATATTCTGAATGGTTTTCATTATTTGTGATCAACACTAACTGCTTATCACAGTCTCTGAAAATCTTTAAAAAGTAAACCTGATTCGGCATATCTTATTTGATTAATTGCCTGAATAGGTATAATCATTGTGATCTTGACACACTGTTTATCAGTGTTTGGTGTAATTTGGAAACATTTGCTTGATTTGGCATATCGTATGCAATTAATTGCCTTAATAGGTTTCATTATTATGATAAAAACTAACAACTTATAATGAAATTTGTAAACATATAGGCCTACCAGATCCTGCACAGCGTATACGATTCCTTTTTTGAATAGATTTTAAAACTACTATTAATAATTTATTATCACTAAGTATGCTTAAGTTAGAAACATAGACCAGATCCGGCATGTCGTATATGATTAAGTAATTTTCTGAGTAGGTTTTATTATTGTGATTAAAATTAATAATTTAGTATCGCAATTGGAAACATAGACCTGATCTGGCATGTCGTAATCGATGCCCTTTGGACTTTTCCACGTCTTCCCTTGGTCACACGTCAACGCGAACACCGGATTGAGGATCCCATCGTTAATGGTAAAGTCCAGAGGTAAAAGGTCAAGTTTTGATATGTCCACTCCTTTGACAATTTTTGAGATTCCTGGCAATAAGTTCAGGCATTGTTTCGACGCCTCTATTAACGTCACAACAGCAAGCAATATAAAAAATTGCTTGAGCATCGTTATAACCTGTATAAGACAACATAACAAAGTTTAGTATGCTCTCAAATAAGATGGTCGGCGTAGTCGAGACGGTAAAGTAGGTGGTAGCTGAACCGAAAAGTCTCGAGTTCGAACACTGGGAATATAAGGCTCGATAGCTGGGGACTTTAATTCTTCTATGAGTGGCAACTCCAAAATAAAACAACTACCACACAAACACACGCCACAATCAACCACAACTCCAGTCTGTTGTTTGATGTTTCGCTGTTACTGTTTGCATGTTTGCTTTCGTTTAAATTTTACAAACGAATAACAAAAAGAACATATGTGTCGTTGCTCTGAGATAAGACATCAACTTATTCTCTTAGATTGAAATGTACAGCGTTTTGTGTACTGGTCGCTTATAGACACCATACATACTCACCATTCAATATATATATATATATATATATATATATATATATATATATATATATATATATATATATATATATATATATATATATATTTATATATATATATATATATATATATATATATATATATATATATATATATATATATATATATATATTGTATTTTAATATGTATACATTTATAAAAGAATAGTTAATTGTTTATAGAATTACTTACACAGTCTATGAACGTGATTAACTCGCTCTCAAATACCGGTTTTTGTCAAGTTACGGGTCTATACTTATATAGAAAAGTAAAGCTACGTGCAGGCACGTTTATGTGGGTGTTTATTATTATTCATGTAGAATCTATATATATAATTCTCTTCTGGGAGCCGTTAGAAAACAAGCTGCAAGCGCGCGCCTTGCAGTCCCCTCTCTTCCTCTCTATCGCTACCACACCCCCCACCCCCACCCCCACCCCCCTCACATGGTAAGGTGAGTTGTAGTTCACGCTAAATGTTTAGTTTGGTGACGGCTATTAGGGGCAGATAATTCAGTTTGAAACTATTTTAAACTTAGAGGAGGTAACTGAGAGGAGGCTGCTTTCACGGGGGGGGGGGCGGGGGGATGGGGGGTTTAGTGTTTTAAAGCAAATATTTTTGTTGGCAGCATTGGTACTGTCGAATTCACAAATTATGAATTACTGAATAGTAGAAAAAATCAACTAAATAGCGGCGTATGATACACCGCGGGTCGGCTCGTAATCTATACTTAAACTCGGCATGTTATGATTATGATTATGATTATGATTATGGTTATGGTTATGGTTATGGTTATGGTTATGGTTATGGTTATGGTTATGGTTATGGTTATGGTTATGGTTATGGTTATGGTTATGGTTATGGTTATGGTTATGGTTATGGTTATGGTTATGGTTATGGTTATGGTTATGGTTATGGTTATGGTTATGGTTATGGTTATGGTTATGGTTATGGTTATGGTTATGGTTATGGTTATGGTTATGGTTATGGTTATGGTTATGGTTATGGTTATGGTTATGGTTATGGTTATGGTTATGGTTATGGTTATGGTTATGGTTATGGTTATGGTTATGGTTATGGTTATGGTTATGGTTATGGTTATGGTTATGGTTATGGTTATGGTTATGGTTATGGTTATGGTTATGGTTATGGTTATGGTTATGGTTATGGTTATGGTTATGGTTATGGTTATGGTTATGGTTATGGTTATGGTTATGGTTATGGTTATGGTTATGGTTATGGTTATGGTTATGGTTATGGTTATGGTTATGGTTATGGTTATGGTTATGGTTATGATTGGGGGGATTTCTAGGGGCAACAGACGAAGTGGGGGTGGGAAAATGTCCTACACCCGTCTCTATAATTACGTGACGATTTTAATGCTATTGCCTTACGAATACGTGAAGGCTTTTCTAAAATTATTTTATCAATATTATTATAACATTATTATTATCACGCAATATCATCAACATAACCTAACAACATAACCGTTACCTCATAAACTCATGACTGAGAACAACGTTGTACAACTTTGTACAGTAAGCCCTGCTTCTTCTCTATTCCATTTCCAGTGATGTTAGTAAAGCCGAATATTAGATATTCTTCTAAATATTTATGTTTTGTTTCTCATTGCTATGGTTTAGTATACCCGTTGGCGACCCCCTTGGGGGTCGCGACCCCCAGTTTGGGAACCTGTGCTCTAACAGTGTGGCTAAGGCAAGTAGGAAACAAGTGTTTATTTTCTTTTGTTCTAATAGTTAATCCGTTCCCACTGGTTGGGTATTATTGTTATTCATAAGAACCTGCATCATTTCCTCCTGGCTCTAATCTTACAAAACGATGTTTATTTTATTTAATAATTTTAAGTCAAACCTTTATGAAAATGATAAATACATAGGAAATATGTTATTGGAATGAAAACATACAAATACAGCTAGGTTTATATGATTTTGTAATACGGATATCCGTACCATCCTTTGCATCTGTGTTATGTGCAGATGCGACGTATGGGTGTAAGCTCTAGCCATTGATATATCTACTGGCGGTTTTATGGATTTTAAGAGATACGGGCAGAAAACCAATGCTGGTCTGTACAATGTGATGATGTAGTGTAATTGGAGTTTGAGAGATTTAGTGTTGTGGGAAATTTTTATAAATAAATAAATAAATAAAACTAACATAAAAGGACATTATAATCATAAATTTTATAATGTATTTTAATGATGTTCTCATTATTGAAGGATAGTTATTTACTCTAAAATTAATTCCTTACATAAACTATACATGTATAATTCTCTTCATGGGACCATGCGAGACACCACGTAAACGTACGCAGTTACTCCACCGCTCTCTAGGCATATCACTACCACTCCCACTCCCACTAGTCTGGTTAGCAGATAATTTAGTTTTTAATTGATTTGAAACTAAGGGAGATAATAACGAGTTCTGCTTGATCTTTTCATTGTCGTCTGTAAACTGTCGTCGCGGACGGCTGCTTTCACGGAGGAGGGGGGGTGAATGAGGATTAGGATAATCTTCCTTTACGAGCTACTGATAGTGTTTAAAAGCAAAATATTTTCAGTCGCAGCATTGGTAGTGTCGAATTCACAAATTATGAATTACTGAAAAATAGAAAAGACTAACATCTAAATAGCGGCGTATGTTACTTTGCGGGTCAGCTCGTGCTTAATATTTAACTTGTATTCTTACCAGCAACACACGAACACACAACAAGTAGTTGGAGTCAGTCGTCTCCCGGTTTAGGATACCCTGTCGGCCACGTTCAACCAAAGGTGTCGACCATCTTCGGGCTGCACACCACGGTCATCGTCGAGCGCTTAAGCGGTCCGATATTTATAATTCGCTGGTAGCACCTGTCCAATTCATATTGACCTTTGGGGATTTTCCGCTCCTGGTCTGTCATTTGATCTCAACGGTAATGTCTAGATCACAATATTTGGTGTGGAACTTACTGAATTTTAATAAGAATTAAAACAGTGCTTAGACTCCGAGAGCGACAATGATATAGTGTGATTTGTGTCAAGAGTATTTGATAATGTTGTTGTAAGGCAGTAGTTTACTGACAATAGCTTTCCCCCCCCCCACCCCCTATCTCCAATTTCACTTATCAACAATATTAAAAATAATTAACCTATCGATATGTTTTGTTTATAATCTAAACCATGGGTGTCCAAACTACGAATGCGGCCCGCGAGGTCCTCTCGTCCGGCACGCGGAGATCTTTTTTTTCATGGAAAAAAAATGTTTGTTGAAGATGGCTGAGGACTTTGCCCAGAAAATTAAAACAATTTGAAAATGTAGTTTTGGGTGCAAATACTATTGCCCGCCGTGTTGCAGACATTGGTGGAAACATCGTGACTTAAATAGCGAAAATTACAAGTTAGTTTCGCCATTTTTCAATTGCAATGGATGAGCCGCTGTTCTACCTCTCAACTGCTTGTGTTCATTAGAGGTGTGGATGAAGACAAGAACATAACACTAGAGCTGGGTTCCCTACATAACATGCATGGCACTGATACCGGAGATTATATATTCAATGAGTTTTAAAAAAACGCTGATTATAACTTGGACTGGACTAACCTGTTAGCTGAGTGTTGATGGAGAAAAGTACATGAGTGACATGTGAAAAAGTTCTGAGCAGATCATTAAGTTAAGAAAGGAAATAGGTTACTTCCTGGAAAGTAAATGCAAACCACAGCCATTAATTCTGATGAAGTGTTGGTATAGAAACTACAAGAGAGGGAAATATATTTTTCTGATCTATACAACAATACAACCACCTCAGGCCTTCAGATCCAAACTTTTGAAACAACTGCAGGCCAACAACTTGACGCACTTTCAGCAGTACAAGGTCTTCATGGCTAAAGCAATAGCTGAGTTCCCCACGTCATTTCCATGCGAGATCAGCAAAGACCTCCCGCTGTAGTTTTAGTAGCGGTTTTCTAACTTGGATTAAAAGGCAGAAGAAGTGAGACTATTTCAAAACTAATTTGAAGCAAATGTGTCCAGTTGTCCAGACGAACTGCAGCTAGAGGCTATTAAATTGCAAGCAAATGACCTCCTTAGAGACAAGTTCAAAGAAGGGCGGGTGGATTTTTTAAAGCTTTAGCCCACTGAAGACTCTCGTAATATTAAAACATTTGCATCAAAGTAACTTTCAAATTTTGGAACAACATACCTGTGTGAACAAACATTTTCAAGATGGAAATACGTGAAGAACAATTTGTGAGCAAACTTGGACCTCGAGTGTGTTGTCGGCTCCCGACAACGTTTCTTTCAGAATTTTTTCTGGTGAACGGAAAAAAATCACAGGGAAAAAAACACACAAAAAGTCAGTTTTTGCAAGGAAAAAAAGTCACAGAAAAAAGTCACAAAGGAATTTTTTTTTCGGAAAAAAAGTCACAGAACTTGCGTCACAGAAAAAAGTCACAATCATATTTTAATAAAATATTTTGATTTTAATTGTTGAGAATTGTAAAACGTTGGGTGTTTATTGATGTGGGTTTTTTGTAGCATATTAATAAACAATAAAAGCATCATGGTTTATAACACTTATAATAAGTAAATATACTGTAACCTAATTTTCTCAGCGACCTCAACTTTTTAAATGAATTTAGTTAAATGCGATCTAGAAATGTTATTTATAAACGAAATCTAAGCACATCAATGTGTTTTGCATTTTGTTTTCTTAGTCGGTCTTGTCCATCCATATTGTGTGTTGTTCAAGTTTAAATCAATGACAGCCTTTGTACAGTGTCGGCTTTCTGTTTTGATCCTATGTTTTGTTATGTAATGAGCGTGATAAATGCGGGCAGTAAAGGTGGTTGACCTATTGTTGCAATGAGTTGAGGACAGTAAGTTACATTAAATACGTCTTTACGCCATTTCGCGCTAATATAAACTTAGTATTTAACAAACACTATGAAAAAAGAGAATGTAACATTTTATTAAATGTTATTAAATACTATATGAATAAAGGAATTAAAACGTAAATAATTCACACGAAATAATTATGTGTGTTATAAATATCACTATACATATACAACCAACGTACATTTCATTATATTTAATTAATCTAAGTTGGTTTGCATTTTCGGAATATTTAATACATAAAAGTATTAACACATTCTATGCAAATATATATTTGTGACCTTTTTTCCTGAGTTTTTTTTTCCTGTGACTTTTGTTCCAAGCAAATTTTAAAATGCTTTTCTGGCATATCCAGCCCCTGGCCACCTATAGCATGTTTATATAACGTGAAAACCCGCCATTTTGC